CGGTGCTTGAGCCATTTCCAGGCAGTAATAATTCCCCGACGACGAAAAAAACATTCACTACGGCCGTCCATAACCGGTCGAGGTTACCATGGTGCTGCCTGACATGATAAGGGTATCTTTGTTTTCTGTCCGCGCGATGAAAAAAAAACTACCTATGACTTCTGCTTGACCCGTTGCAAAGAACTGAAACGACTTAACATATACTCCATTTTTGAGGTCCGCGAGATCTTTCGTGCTCTTGCCAAGCACTGGGTGCTTATGCCTACGCCCGGCCCCGCTATCATTCTGGTGGACGCGCCGGCCCCGTCCCGACGCTGGAACGACTGGAACTCACGTATCCTGGGGTCGAACCAGGAGGTGACGCGCGTCTGGTGGTTGATGAAGTACACCTCGCCCTCCTCGGTCTCGGCCCGGTCCCAGCCGTCCGGCAGCGGGCCCAGCGCCTGGCCGCCCGCTGCCGCCGGCTCCACTGACAGCTGCTGCAGTTGCTGCTGAAGCTGCTGCTGCTGCTGCTGCTGGGGCGGCGGTGGGGGCGGCGGCTGCTGCTGCTGCTGCTGCGAGGGCGGCGGAGGCGGCGGCGGCGCTGGAGAGGCGAGACGACAGTTACTGCCACCGCAGGAGTCACGGCACGACAGACCATCGACCGCTGCACTACTGCGTGCATCACTGTCTTGGCGATTACCGTAAAACAACTGCTGCGGGGACAATATTAAGAAAATAAACTAAATGCCTATGCCATTCGCAATCCAAGAAAGTCTGCATTGCATCCTGCAACAGCTACTGCTTATTTTAGTTCTTACAGCGTATGACTGCCTGGTTTTCAGCGCCCACGCGCGTGCGATCCCGTATGTTCAGCTCCTTAAAATTCCACGCAGCAGCACTAGCTCCACATGCTCCGCCCAATATCACTCACAATACAGTTTGGCACATCAAATCAACGGTGAGCGCTGCCGGTCACTAGAGCTTGGGTTGACACCCTCATAGTTCGATATTAGTCATCATCACCGTTTCTTTACAGACCAACGGACGTGTCTGACGCGCACCATCTGCGCTTCACACAATCCGACCTGACAAGCGAAACATCACATACGATTTCCCTGTTTCTCCGCGCAGCCAATGTCACCCCTGCTTATCGCCGATGCCAATCCGCGATTGGGTGCAGCAACACCTACCTTCTTGCGCGCCAGGGGCAGCGCCAGCGGGGCCGGCGGGAGCGGTCGGGGGCGCCCCAGGCGCGCTGGCAGGCTGCGAGCTGGCCGCTCCTGGCTGGCCTGCCAACGAGCCCTGGGAGGGCTTCTTCCGCGGGTCTTCCCAGGTGGTCGTCTGCGTCACGTGACTGAAACGGCGGGCAGGGGGTCAGACGCCGGGCGGCACGGGGTGCTGTAGAGCGCGCAACATCACCGTCAGCGAGCAATGCGCTATAACACAGACCTGAAGACCACAGGCAACTCTTTGGATTTTGAAAACGCATGCAATGGATGGTGGCATAACCCTCACGGTTCAGGTGTTACATATCCAGGAATATGACGAGATGGTGCTGAATGTCGAGATAGTGTTAGCTGACGACACAGCACGTGACGTCATAAGCCGTGGCGCACTAACCTCTTTAATCAGCAGACCTCATGTCGCTACAGATCGCGACAATGCAAATTTGAAATGTACTTGTGCCCACTTCTCATTGTCGAAAGCCATCGTAACACACGTTTGTTGACACACAACGCAAGCACAAGCCCACACATGCACAAGCCCGCACACGCCAGGTCGCCGCTGAAATGTAATGTGTCCTGACATTCAGCTCTGATGAGTCCCTAAAACAACGACAAAGCCCGATACAGCCTCTCAATCATTGCGGCGGCTCTCGCACAGGAGCCAGTGCTGCCACTCGGCGCCGCCTCCTCCCGACTAGCCCCCGCATGATCTCACCACCTCCCAGCGGTGACGCAACCATGTGGGTGGCGCTGAGCTCACCTGGCGCTCACCGACCCCCCCCCCCCCCCCCCCTCCTCCCCCCGCACGAGCCGGGTAAGCCTGCCCTGTGCCGCGGCCTCAGACTGGCCAGCCCGAAATGGGCTGCCGCCGGTCTGTCGTCACCAATCCCGCTCGCCAGATCACCGCGCGGCTACTGTAACGTCGCCAGATCACCGCGCGGCTACTGTAACGTCGTCAGATCACCGCGCAGCTTCTGCGGCGTTGTCAGGTGTCACCGCGCGGCTATCCTGTCGTTCCGCTTGTCATCTGGGTGGATGCCGACGGGCATGTAATTGATAATGATGGCACACGTACGGGACAAAATAAGAGATAAGCCAAACGATGTCGTTTGATATCAACGTATTTGCGGAGCCACGCCTGTTTGGGACGCTTATGCTGCCACTAATTCTGGTTTCTTCATACTATATATATATATATATATATATATATATATATATATATATATATATATATATATGTTCGTTTACTAGCCAGAGGACAACAGCTCACGCCATGACCTCGAAAAGCTCGCTCGCTACAATTACCAGCTGGTGCGAGGCGGCAGCGAAGGTCACCTCTTCCCTGAAGCCACGGAACCGCAAGATACCTCTCCCCCATAAACACCAGCAAAATCCCCACGCCAATCAGGCAGCGGTCTGCGGCGCCAGCGAGCCGCGGGCTGCCCCACCCGGCTGCAGTGTCGTCAGCGGCAGCCACCCCCGGATCACGGCTCCGTCCGCGCCCCGTGCGTCACCGGCGCCCGGGTGCGGCCCGGCCGGGAGCGGGTGCAGCGGCGGCCGCTGAACCCGCCGGCCCGGCCCGGGACGGCCCGGTCCAACAATACCCCCGGTCGGCCGGCAGGCCACACGCATGCCGGCGTCGCTGCGCCGCTGCGCTGGCCGGCCGCGCCGCGCCGCCGCCCGGACGGCGAGGGAGTCTGCGGAGCGAGGACGTCACACTGACGGCAACAGGCACTTGTGACGCGACCTGCACCCTGCGCCCTACGACTTCCGACCTGCGACCTGCCGCCTGCGACCTACAACATGCGGCCCGGTCTGCTTCAGCCGCGTGGATGGACGCGCGTCTAACATTTTTGAGTTCGGCCGAGCGTGACGCGAGCCGGCGGACCAGCCGCTGGCGTGACGCGAGCCGGTGAACCAGCCGCCGGCGTGGCGCGAGCCGGTGGACCAGCCGCCGGCGTGACGCGAGCTGCGCTGACGGCGACGTCGGACGGGACAGTTGGCCGCCACTGCCCTCAGCAGCGGCACGCTGACCTGTGCCGCCCACGCACGCTGACGGGACCCGAGCGCCCTCAGAGCGTCTGCGGATACGCAGGGCGTGTACCTGGCTGGTGGCTATGGACTGGACATATCCGACACGGGCGGCCGTGAACCGCCGCCACAAGCTGCCGCGCACGCCTGAGGCCCAGCACGTGGTCGAGGCGCTCAAGCCAATCCACATCGGTCCACGGTCTCTCGATCACGTGTCGCCACGGTCTCCGTTGAATGCTTTCGTTGACACCAAGGTCGGGTCCGCGTAGCTCCAACCGGGGACTGTTTCCATACCAGACTGCATCCGGCGTACAAACGAGACATCAAGTTGATGTGCCGTCCGATTGCTCGATCCTCTCAGATCCGCCGTCCAAACAGAGCTCATGTGCTAGCTGACAGCTGGTTCAGCCCCCATGGTAACTGATAGATGGTCTGATACCCATGGTGGGTGACAACTGATCTGGTCTCCTGGTAACCGACAGCTGGTCCCGTCTCCTGGCAACCGACAGCTGGTCCGGTCCCCTGGTAACCGACAGCTGGTCCAACAGTTGTCAGTAACCCCATGGTAACTGACAGATGGTCTGATACCCATGATAGGTGACAACTGATCTGGTCTCCCCGGTAACCGACAGCTGATTCAGTCCCCCTGGTAACCGACAGCTGGTCCGGTCCCCGTGGCAAGTGACAGCTGGTCCGGTCCCCACGTTAACTGACAGTTGGTCCGGTCCCCGTGGTAACCGACAGCTGTTCCGGTCCCCATGGTAAGTGACAGTTCGTCCGGTCCCCGTGGTAACTGACAGCTGATCCGGTCCCCATGGTAAGTGACAGCTGAACTGGTCCTGCGTGTCCCTGTACGCTATACGAGAAGGACCAGTGGCCGCAGGCGGTGGCTAGCTCACGTGACCTGGTCCGTTCCATTCATTCCATTGCTGAGTGCTGTGCTCTGGTGGCAGCAGGACTTCCTATGCCACGATCCGTCTGTCCAGCAGAGCAGCCTCCAGCGGCGGTCGGCAGCGGCGGTCGCCCAGCCTGACACGCCAGCATCGCGCCGCTCACCCGCCGCTGCAGCTCGGCACGGAAAGCCCCGGTCACTGCTCGCTCGCGGCGTCGCCCCGGTGACGTCACTGGAGCTCACCCCGGCGTGTGACGGCCCCGTCGGCGGCGGACGGCGGTGACGGGCGTGCCACATGTGCCGACGGCGGTGCCGGCCAGCAACGGCCGACCAAGTGGGGATTGGGCCCGACAGACAGCAGCGGAACGCCTCAGGAGAGCCAAGTGGAGATTGGGCCGGACAGACAGCAGCGGAACACCTCAGGAGAGGAGACAGGAACCCAGCAGGAGCAGGTTTGGGCCCTACGTGACTGACAGAAGTGACATAGTGACCCAGACAAGGCAGGTTAAGATACAGCTCGACTCGAAACAAGATTACCTAAAAAAAATTACTGTAATCGATCGTTACTCAAGACTTGTGAGAAATGGAAGAGGGCTGCAAGAAAGTCGGCAGATAATATAACCAAACGAGGAAAATCTACAGCAGCAAGATGGTCCGGAGAAAAGGGTGATATAATTAAAAGGATGGTGCTGAATGCGGCATGAATCGAATACCAGCTATTGAGGACGACGAACATACGAGAAAAGTTCGGAGACACACGACACGGGAGAAGTGCGATGAAAGGTAAATTAGGCCCGAATAGATCACAGGATGGTAGCATGTTTTAACAACATTGCTGTGGACTAAGGACGTAACGGGGGCCATGCCACGCTGTCCCTGAGCCAGGTTTCCACGACGTAGGCGCGGGCGATTTCGCAGAAATTCGGTTCAAACACCAGGAGTTAGGGAGAAAGTTCGATATTGCCCCACCCCTTCAGCAAAATTGCGGACTACCTGTCTGCTGCGGCGACACAAAGATCCATACCAGAAGGACTCTGTATGCAACGAAACCACTGCAGGCGAAAAAAGATACCCTTTGGTCCCCAGGAAACTAAGATGCAACAGCTATAATTACCGGTGACAAAAACATCGAGTCAGAAACACCTGTGGAATATACCCCGCGCAGCAGCCAACACACGTGTCATTCCGTGTGGAGCAGCTCCACTGAGGGCAGTCGTGGTCGGCCCGGCAGCAGCTCCAGCGACGGTGCGCCTGGCGTGAGCTAACCCGGCTCGCCCGTGCCCGGCACCGGCCGCCGCCGCCGCCGCCGCGCCGGCCACATACAAAGGCGAGAGGACACCGCGCCAACCGCTCCAACGACGTGGGCCGCGTGGGCATGCGGCCAGCCGAGATCACCCGTGGTGACGAGACCACGCAACGTAGAGGTGCCGCACTGCTGGAATCGACGGACTAATGACACCACTCCCCCCTGCTGGGACCATACGGGCCACGCGGTCAGCAGCGGCCAGATCACGGCACCTCAGCGAAGGGTCAGGAATCGGCCGGTGTGACCGAGTAGGTCCGGCCGCGGCCCGCCTGGGAAAGTGTGCAGCGGCTCTCAGCCCGACCACGCGTCCGGCCCGTCAGGTGCGCGCCTGACCGCGCTCGTCGCCGCCGGGCGACCGCAGCACGACGCCCAGCCGCCGGCCACTTCCGCTCGGCGCCCGCTCAGCCAGTAGCCCTCCCGCTCACTCCCACGCGCCCGTCGGCCGCGCCGGACCGGCCGTTGCAAAACAAGAGCGGACCAGTTGTGAGCGCCCCGGGACTCGGAGCCGGCCAGCCGGGTGGCTGCCAGCCCCGCCGACGCGTCCAGTCCGGTACTGGCCGCGGAGCCGGAGCCGGAGCCGGAGCCGGAGCCGGGAGGCCTTGAGCCGCGCCGCAGCGTGCCCGTTCGCCGCGCCGTAGCAGAGCAGGTTACGGCGGGCAGATGAGACGGCGTCACCGCGGAGCGGAGCCGCAGAGGAGCCAGGTCTCCACGGGGTCGAAGCGGGAATGGGAGGGGGAGGGGGGCACCGAAAGACAACCAACCGTCGCAATGAGGTCATGCGATCGCTGAGCCCAGCACAAAGATCAATGCATATATGTGAGACGAAGTTACAAAGGCTTTGAAAGAAAATGGCCATCGAGCACGCTGAGTGGACCAGAGCCGTGACTCTAAATCCGAGA